TGTGGGGCAAATTCCTACAATTCGAATAATGAGATTTAAAGAATTATTTAAGAAGAAAATATTTTTAAAAATTCTAAATAATAATTAATTTGGATGAAAAAAACTAACTAAACTGTACATATGTATTTGTATTCCTAACACTACATTGATCTATTTATTAGATATATTCCCGGTAATTCTTTAATTTTTTAAAATTTACTTTAATTCTTTTAAATATATCTTTATTCCAATTCAATATAACTATAGTTATGCCCTTTTGTAACTCAAATTAAATACTATACATTTTATTACAATAGTATTCCTATCTCTTATATTTCAATTGTTTTTTGTCATATTATTTAGATTTTTAATTATCCAAAATAAAATTTTTGGTGAATTTTGATTGTTTAAATTAAATAACGTTTGTAGTTACATCTCCATGTTCATATTTTCTATAAACTTTAAATATTTTTATTTCTAATAGTTTAAAAAAAATTGGTAATTTTTTTACTACTAACAAGTAAATTCAAACATTATCAACAAATTTATGAAAATTAAAAAGTAATCTAGAAACTAATTAATTAAATCTATTAAAACTAAATTAATTAAAACTAAGGTTGTCTGATTATGATATTTGGATCCAGAAAAGGGTAGGATATTAGGGAATTTTCGTATCTGATACCGGATTCAGATATCCTGGGAATTCCCAGTATACCCCAACCCTTTGTATCACCTTGAATAAATTTATTCAACCAGAATTCTTTTAAGTTTTTCTAAGGCTAATTTTTAAAATTAATTTTTTAATGAATTTTATTTTTATTTCAATATATTTTTCTTTATTTTCTTCTTTGATTCATTTAAAGCTTTATCATTCAATAAACACAACAACTAATTGGACTCTCTGGAGAGAATCCCTAGCTTGCCAAGGAAATTTTTCTGCATTATCGGCTTTTGCCTTTTTATTTTCAATTTTTTTCTTTATTACTTTCATTCCTTTTTTTTTATTACATACATATAAATTCGTATGTTTATCCAAAATAAATTTTTTGTACATAAAATAAAAAAGTAAAATAATTATTAATTAAAAATTTAATTATTTAAGGAGAATAATGAGGGCGGAGGGATACATTTTCATGTAAAAGGAACAGAGGTACTAATTCGTTACACACCCAGAAATTGAGTGCTAGCCGACTTAGATCGGCTATAACTTTTTGATGCTTGATACCATGCTTGATACCATACAAATGAATTTTATATCATTCGAAAGCCCTCGATAATATGTATCTGGCACTCGTGGGGGGGGGGGGGGGTATGGATGTATAACGGATAAATACTGCAACAAAAAGCCCAAACGATAAGTAATATAATTGAAGTCAAATTATAAAATTAATTAATTTTTACTTTTTTATAACATAATTGAAATTTCCAAATTTATTTTTTTATTTTTAGAATTATTTCCAATTCACTTTTCATTACTTCTCCCTATTTGACATTTTAAATTACTTTTTAAAGGCAAATTGTCCAATAAAATAAGGATCCTTGTCTTTATAGAAGCACTAGAAGATCCTCTTTTCATGACATATTAAAGTGGGTAATATTGCTAAAATTAATTTCTTTGAGTTTATCCTTATCCACTCTGCTATTTTCATCTAATTTTTTCCTCAAAAAATTTACTTAAACATTCTTAAGACTTCTTTAAATAAAAATTAAACAGAGATAGGCCTTGTATATAATATTTTATAAATTATTATTTTACCCAATATTTTACCCAATTTAATACATAAATCAAATTCCACATTTTTAAACTAAATATATAATCAATTTTTTGGCTTAATCTTTCCTTATTTGCTTTATATGTAAAAACAAATAAGTCTATTTTTAATACTATTTGGCTAATCCCATCAGGAAAAGTAATGCCATTTTACTTTTTCCGGTCGTCGCTTTTTCAATCCATTCTTTCTTATCTAAAGGCTAGAAGTTATATTTTTATTTATTTTTAAAACTCAAAAAAGATTAAAAAGTATTTTTAAAATTTTTAAAAATATTAGTTTGAACAAATTTTCTGAAATTAAATAATTAAATAAAGATGTTTAAGTAATCATAAATTAAGTAATAAAATTAATAACTCAAAAAAGATATTTAATTTAATTTTTATCAACTTTGAATAATTTATTTAAATTAATTCTTAAGCCAATTTATTTTTATTAATTTGCATTTTAAATTAATTTATGTACTATAAATATACTAAGTTTTTAAAAAGTGTAATGGAAACATGATTAGCCCTGTCAAGATCCGAAACCGCTATAAAATATTACCAAGTATTCCTCGAGTTAAATCCGCTTAACTGTCTCACTGTCAAAGCCATCAAAATTAATTTACCAATTAGTTAACACAATATGAATAATTTAACAAAACGGACTGCATCACAAGAATGTTTAATTTCAAATAAATCAGCACTTGAATGTCTTAACATCGGCGGATTTTTTTATGATGCATGTACGGGGCATTGTGAAAGAGATTCTAGGTAAAATAATTTTATTTAATAAATCCTATTTTATTATTATTTTTAGTTTTCTTCGTTTAAGCCAACATTTGCAATTGGAACATTTAGTTTACGGATATGTAAGCAAATTACTTTTTAATTTAAATAAATTATTTTTCAAAGCTTTTCCCTATTCTTGTTATTTTTGTTGTCGTTGCCAATTTATTAGTAGCTTTAGTACTTTCTCAAAAACACATGATTTCGCCTACAAATTTAGTTTTAAAATATATGGTAATTTTATTTAAATTTAAATACTTATATTTAATATTCAGGCAATAGCTGATCTTTGTGTTGGACTTTTTCCTCTTCCCTGGAATTTTTATTATTACACATTAAGGTGTAATTAATTATTAAAATATTAAATAATATTAAATTTTAAAGGCATTTTGAATATGAACAAAAAGAACTTCAACTGTGGTATTTTTAGATAAATATTTTATTTAAATTTAATTTTACTATTTTTGGTGGTGTTATGCTTATAAATATTCAATGGATGCAATTCCGCCAGTTTGCCATAATAGTTTATTAGTTTATATTTAAATATTTTTAAATATATTTTAATATTTTAGTTGCAATGTGGCTAACAGTTTTGTTGGCAGGTCAAAGGTAGTAGTATTAACCTTCACAAAACCTTTAAATTTCATTTAAAAAAAGATATCTTTCTATTCGTCATCCTATGAATTCTCGCCATTTATGTTCTTTACGTAATGTGAGAATTGCAACTTTTTTAATTACAATTGTTTCTATATTTTGTGGCCTTCCAAAATTCGTCGATTATTATTATAATGTTTATGAAGGTTGGGCTTTTGTTGATTCTGGTCATTTAATATATTTAAAGTAGTTTATATCCATAAAATATTTTTTTTAATTATTATTTTTTTAGAAGTTGTTTATCTGGATATACATTTTTTGTTAAATTTGTTGGTTCTAATGGTCAATTTTTTAAAAATATTTAAATTTATATAAATTTTTGAAGCATTCTTCAATGCTTATTTTTGGACTCGGGTTGTTGGATTTATTTTAGTGCCTTCATTTCTACTTATTTGCCTAAATGCATTACTTATTAAAAGTATTAGGAAAGCTCAACAACGAAAGAAAAGGCTGTTAATGTTGTCTATTTTAGGGTAAAAAATTTTAAAAAAATAAAATTAAAAAGAAATTTTTAAAGAGATAAACGTAACCGTGATTCAACAATTCATCGACAAACGTCAGATAATAATACTTCTGTAATGCTTGTAATTATTGTTTCAATATTTTTAATTGTTAATTTACCACAAGCATTGTTTATGGCAATGCTTTGTGTTTATAATACACTTGGATTGAGTAATCGTTTACTTGAAGGAGTTTTTCCGGTGATTTTTTAAAGATTCTTTACTGAAATTTAATTTTTTAGATAACATTTCTGCTTGTAAATAATATGCTAGTTATGGTTAGTTTTATAAGCATATATACTTTTAAATTTATTTTTAAAGGCCACTTATCCAATTAATTTTGGAATTTATTGCTTTATGTCCAGCAGTTTTAGAGATACTTTTCGAATGCTTTTTTGTAGAAATCGAAATAATAATAAACAATTTGTTGATGCTATACCCCATCCAAGTCAAATACCAACAGAAAGTCGAAGACTTATCTCTATGGGAGGTTTACCATCAGAATCAAAAGGAATATCATCGTCTTTAGTTCGTAGATCTACTGATCCTATTGGTGGACATAATAATAGAAATTTAAGGTAAAATAAATAATTTTATTTTTTAAAAATTTAAAAAATTATTTTTAATCAAATTTCTCATTTTTTCCTTTCATCTTCTCTTGATCTTCTCTTCACAAATTTTTCTTTCCCATATTTTCCTTGATTTTTCTACCGTTGCTATAGGTTCATAACTAACTGACTGACAAATTTCATTTGGATCATACCTTTTTAAAAAATATTTTCTTTCAATTTTATTTCCATACCATTTTGTAATTTCATCATTAAATAAAGCCATTGTTCTACTTTTAGCTATTTCCTCGGGAGAATTTTGAAATTTATTAAATAAAAGGGAACGTCCAATTAATTGTTGCTGTTTATAAATAGCATTTTGGATATATGGTTTATGTAATTTGAACTTTTTAGAAAAATTTTTTTAATTAAAATGTTTAAAAACCTTGTCAAGTCTTGCCATTCTTTCAGAATTAATTAATTTCTCTTCTCGATGAATTGGAATTAAACTATCTTTTGGAATTATTTGTATAGTTTTCTTTGAGGCTACCCAAAAAATTAAATTTAGTCAACTCTCATATAATGAGCCGAACAGGGGCCCTGTCGTATTTTAAAAAACGGAAGGCGGAAGAAAAAAAACGGGAGACGGAAGCGGAAACACCAAAAAAGAGAAAGTGGGCAGAAGGTGGAAGAGAGCCCATCTCCTCCGTTCCCTAGACGTCCCTCCTGTCCCAAGAACACTCATCGGGAGTTATTGTACATAATTTTCTAATAAAATAATTAAAAAACCAAAGAAGCTGTCATAGGGTCAACAGATCTCCAACGTGGAAAAAGAAATATTTTATTCTTGCTATGTTTTGGTATTTCTTCCTTAAAAAATAAAATTTCTTAAAATTATTTAAAAAAAACAAACATTTTTATTAATTGTTTCAGCCATAATACGTTTTTCCCAAAGTGAACGTATTCCACCATTTTTTATTTTATCATTATCTATCGTTTGATTTAAAATATTTTTCATCTTTTGATTAATTCGTTAAGAAATTTTAATTTTTTAATATTAAATAAGAAATGAAAACATCTTTCTGAATTTTATATATCTCTATATCTTCTAATTGTTTAAAGCTAAAACAAAAAGATAACTAGCTTCACTCTTTTTTTAAATTTACTTTTCTTTCCTTTGTTTACCTCTTTTACTTTAACTAAAAGTAAATATTTGCACAAAAAATGTATAGAAATATTACAAAATACTAGAAAAAAATTTTTTTAATAATTACATAAATATAAATTTATAATTTTATTTTTTCTTTAAAAATTAGGCAACAAAATATCATTGATAGACAACAAACTGGTAGAGTTTCATTGCCAGCCGCTTCTTGTTTAGATGATTCAGAACAACAACCATCAATTTATGAACAAAAATTAAAAAAAGAATTAGGTAATAAGTAGAGTTTTACACAACCTGTTATTAACGTACTCTCTGTTTTCATTGTTAGTTTTTGTCAAATACCAGCTCTATTTTGGGAGAATTTTTAAAATAATCACTCACATTCCCTATTTTCGGTTTTTAAAATTCCATAAAACGGTTAATTCTTGGTAAAAAAATATCAAAATTTCCGAAAGCTGGTCGTGTTCAACCTTAGCAATGAGTTTAAAATAAATTTAAATTTATTTTTAATACTAGAAGAAGAAAACAAAGAACTTGATAACAATGAAAAAGAGAAAGAAATTCAACAATTGTTTCTCATTAATTATAACAATATATTAGTAGATGACACAGTTTTTCTTTAAAAATTTTAATTTTTACAAATTATGCTTTAAATACAATTTGTTATTCTGTATCTTTTTTTATATTTTATAATATACTTTTTTGTTTTTTTAGATAACTATAATAAATATTTTAGATAAAAAACTATATAAAAAGTGATAAATATCCAAGTTATTCTTTAAAATTTTCTCCACAAAATATTTTTTTATGTTTATGTACTTTAACAATTCATCGTCTGTCTATAAAATTTTAAATCAAAATTTAACAAAGGAAATAAGAAAGATACAGACATATATAAAAATGTACTGATAAACATTTTAAACATTTCAAATTAAAATAAAGTGGTTATCGATGAAAATATCCAATTCTAAATGTAAATTTCTCGATCATTTAAGAAATGAACTTAATTATTTTAAATTTTGTTTTAATTTAATTAGTAGACAATTAAGACAAAATAATAAATAAACTTTAAAGTAAATAAAAAAAGATAACGGAAATTATTAAAATAAATTAAAAATATTTTTTTACTTTTATTTTTTAACTTCCTCATTAAAATTAAATAAATTTATTAGTAATATATTTTACTACCTCTTTTATCATTTCAGTTGATTTAAAAAAAGAAAACAAAACCTAAATTATTTTAAATTTATAAATATCAGACTAGAATTTCGTCAAAATTTAACACTTTAATTTATTTTAGATCAAACCTTAAAAGATAAAATAATTTAAGTTCATATGTCTTTTATTAATGGTACATGTAACCTAAATACTTTTATGTTGGACCAATTATTGTTGGAGCAAGTAAAACAAAAAGAATTAAATAAATGCCAAAGTAAGAGATATTTTTTATAAAAACATTAAAAGATTTTTCCTCAAAGTTTTGTTGAACGAATTATTAAGACAATTTAATATTCTTCCTTTACCTCAAAACAATGAAAAAGAGTTGGAATTAGATGAATACAAGTTACAAAATAATACCGAAGCAAATACCTTCCTTTCGACAACTTCTGCTTCAAATTCATCTAACAATCATTTAAATTCTTCATTAAGAATAAATAATGAACAAAAACAACAACGTCCACACAGTTGTGAATATTGCCAAAAATCATTTCGATTTAAATCCAATTTATTTGAACATAAATCGATTCATAAAAGTGCCTGCCATCGAAATACATTTATTTGTCCATTTTGTACAAAAACTTGTCGACTTAAAGGCAATTTAAAAAAACATCTACAAATTCATGTCAAAAATGTGAATGAACTTGAACGCCTCTGGAAAAATTACTTTTCTAGACAGTCTGGAAGGCCACGCAAAAATGCAAAGTTAGTACCTCTTCCAAAGCCTGGTGATGATTTAGGATTAGTTCCAGTTATGTTAAAAACAGTAATTTTTAAATAATATCAAATTAATAAATTATTTTTTTAAAGAAAAATAATCAAATACTCAAAAATAATTGCCAATGGACGTTTGCCAGTGAAAATGATAATTTAAAAAATAAAGTTTAACTAAAAATTTATGTTTTGCCTTTCAATATTCTATTGTTTTATAATTTTTAAACAAAAAATATTAATTATTTCAGAATTTATTTAAATTTTTCTATGTATTCAGAGGATAAACTTAAAAAATTATTCCATTAATATCCTAATAATTAAATCTCTAAATATATATTTCCCCAAAACATGCATGAATTTCGCCAATTGTCGGAGATTGTAACCGATCTCCTATCTTTGTTTGAATACTTTGCTTAACAAATACCTAAATTTTAAAAAGGAAAATCATTTTGGAAAATATTTAAATTAAAATATAATTTAAAAAATTACTTGAGCAGCAGCAGTCAAATGTGCTTGTTCTGCTAATGCTCTTCTCATACGTAATCGAAACATTAAACGTTTCTTCTTTCTATTATAATAAATTTCGGCACAAAAAGCCAAAAATGAAAGTAAAAGGCCTGAATAAATTAAAAAATTCTTCTTTAAAAAATTTAAAAAACCTAAAAGCGCTACCAACATAACGCCAAACATAGAACCAAAATCTATTTTTAAATTGTTTTTAAAGGATAAATTTATTTTTTTACCCAAAGGTTTTAATTCAATTCCATTAATTCCAAAGTGCCATCTACCTTTATGATTTAAATAAGAAGAAAATGAAGATTCTTCTTTACAATGATGACCAATTCTTTCTGTCAAGTTTTTAGTCAAATAATTATTATCAAAATTTTCTTTGGTTAATTTGAAATTTGAATGAAAATATCTTTAAAATAACAAATATTTTTTTGGAAAAACTAAATACTTTTTAAATGTTCTCCTAACAAAATCCAAATTCATAATAATTGATCGTTCAAAAAGCTTCACAAATCGACTATCACGGCGAAAAATAAGATGTGAACTAACTTCGGGCATTCCTTCGGAAACAAATACAAGACCGGCTCCACATCTAAAAGGATAAATAATTTTGTTTAACAAATAAAAAACCTTTCTTTAGCCATTTGCATTCCAATACTATCCTCTTGTATTGGATAAATATAGCCACCTTTTAAAACTTTATCTAACGCCTTAGGAACTGTACTAGCTATATGAATTGGATTTTGAGCAATTGCAAGCCGCAAAGAACGATAATGAGAAACGTTAGAATTGTGGAGTTCTTCAAAATACCTTTGTTTTAAATTTAAATATTTAAATTTAAAAATTATTTAAAACCAATTTCCAATATAATTAGTAATTAATTTAAAACGTTGACTTCCAATTAATCTAACCATTTCTCGAGCATCTCTAAAAGGGTTATCAGCCACTGGCTGTAAAAGTGCCGATAATAATAATGTTTGGTACATATCAAGTAGAAGACGGCATTGCATTATCTTTGATTTTAAAAAATTTTTTAATGAAAGATTTGTTGTTTTTTATAAAAAAATTCTCAACTGTAAAAATAAGTATAGCAAAATTTCCCCCAGCTGTTCGAAAATCAAAGCTGTCTGGCTGATACAATTGTAAACGAATTATTTTCCAAAATATTTGAAAAGGTTCTAATTGGTTACGACGCCCAATTCTTACTTCTAATTTAGCCACATAAAGACAAAACTTTAAAAATTTATAAAAGATCTTGAAAAACCATTAATTTTCAAATGAAATACCAAGGTTTGCAGGATTAACATAACACCCATTGAAAACCAAGTAGAAGGAGAATAAGGCATAAATGCATTCCAAATATTCCATTCATCATGTTGACTATGAACAACATAAGTTGGTTTTACATTTGTTATTGGATAGGAAAAAGAAAAATGTTCGGCACGAAGTTGGGTACGTTGAAAGAAAAGACAGGCTGTATCAACAGTATTGTTTTGAATAAACCCTAAAACTCCATTCCAAGTACCATTATCCTTTAAAATTAAATTTAAAAAATTTTTCAAAATACTTACATGAGATCCCCAATTTAATTCACCAATTTGATTATTAAGAATAAATGGTTCAATTTTTAATTTTAAATATTCAGTTAAATAACTAATAATCTAAGTAATATTTTAAAAATTAAAATTTAATTGTTTTTAAAAATATATACCTCAACACACCATCCTGGAAATGGACATTCAACACTTGGTTTTAAAGTTGGAAAATGACGACATTCATCAAAGGCATCTGGAGGGTTTCTAGCAAAAAGAATTCGGATTTTATTATTCATTTATTTTAATTTTAAGGGTAAAAATATACTTATAAACTCGCCATCCTGGTTTATTATTTACATTAAACAAAAAGCCTTTTTATTTAGGGCATATCCATATTAATTTCATCCATTCCAATACTAAAAATTTTAAAAATATTGAACGCCCTTTCAATTACAAAATTAAGGGATAATAAATAAATTGTTGTTCGTCTTAATTTTTTTAGTTAATTATATGGTTTTTGGCCTTTTGCGCATATCACTTAAATGATTAATTACAAAAATACAAACCAGTTATTCTAGTGTTTCGTCATAATTTACTATATTTTTAGTCATTTTTAAATAAATTCGTTAGTTGCAATTTATTTTTAAACATTTTCTTGCTTAACTTTTATTAATTTAAATAAATTTAAAGAATATTTTTTATAGTAAATTAAAATTTGGCATTATTGCTTTCAATGAACTTCAAATTAATTTTAAATTTATTTACAATATTTGTATTATTTAAAAACACAAATGCACAAATACCTTCTCTACCCCCCGGTGCAGCAATTGCCCCCGAGGGTGTCCCACACGGTCCGCCCGGAACTATTAATGAAGA